TTTTTTTTTTTTTTTTTTTTTTTTTTGGTACCGGGGATCGAACTCAGTACCTTGCACTTGTGAGGCAGGCGGCAGCAGCTCTGAGCTAAAGCCCCAGCCCTAGCCCTCTTTATTCTGTCCCTTCTAACTCCTCCTGCCCACCTCTTCTCTCCCTCTGAGTCTCTTTCACATTCCCTATGTCAGGTTTGCTTTGCTCTTTATTTCCTTTCAGCAACCCCTGGCTGGTCAGGCTGTGTTCGCACTCAACTTTTCTATGACAGTGGCTGGAAAGTGGGGGAAAACCTTGGTATTTTCTAGATAGAAAAGAAAGTAGGATGGGTGGGCCCTGCTTATTCTTGATCTATTACTTTGCAGTTAGGGACATGGAGCCCCAGCTATTCATCAGGCAGCCGACTGATGAATCTATATATCTATTTATTACCTGTTTATCTATCTAGTCATTGATTAATCTTTCCTTTTTCCACATCCTAATCTTCATTATTTAATCAAGCTACAGAGCTAGACCTAGGGATGAAGTGGGTCACCTGTGTTTTTTGTTTTCCTTTGAGGAAAATGAAAGGAATGTTTGGCTTTTGTCACTATCTGGGTCTCAGAATTTTCTCAGGGAAGTGTTTCAAGCTGAAATCTGCCTTCCTCCTTTTTAATGTCTGCTCTTCCCCATGAAATGAAGCAGGCCAAGAACAAGGTTCTGCTATTTACTAATCTTTCACTTCTTTGGGCACAAGCAGTTGGTGTCCCGGGAGTGGTTAAGAGATGAATGAAGGGCTCTGATAACCCTGTTTGGAGTTTTAGCAAGAGGCTGTGGGGGTGGAAAGGGCCTCCAACGGAGAGGAGAGAAAGAAGCGTTTTCAGCTTGACGTTTTTTCTCCCAGTTCCAAATGCTGTCTGCCTTCCTGTGTACTCTCCCTCCATAAGTGACTTATCTGTCGTCTTGTTTCCAGAAGGCAGGGAGTGTGTGAACTGCGGGGCAACTTCGACCCCTCTGTGGCGGCGGGACGGCACCGGTCACTACCTTTGCAATGCCTGTGGGCTCTACCACAAGATGAATGGCCAGAACCGGCCCCTCATCAAGCCCAAGCGGAGACTGGTGAGTTCTGCTCGGAAGACTTGATCCCACGCTAATCGTTTCGTGTTTCCATTTCCTCTGTCCTGGAAGGAGGGCTTTCTGCAGGAAATTGACGAGGCAGCTCCAGATCATGTCCATCCGGCCCCACAGTTTCTTTCCTCTTCTTAAATCAGGTATACAGCCAGGCATGATGGTGCACGCCTGTTAGCCCAGGACTTGGGAGGCTGAGGCAGGAGGATCACCATGAGTTCCTGCCCAGCCTGGGCTATGTAATAAGTTCAAGGCCGGCCTGGACTACACAGCATGACCTGATCTCAAAAAATGATGTAAAATATTAGCGATACAGAAAAACTGTTTTTCCCCTTCCTGTTGCTTAAGTAACCTCTCAAATTTTCAAGGATTCTGTTGTAGGTTATCCCATCTGAAATACACTCCCCAGTAGAGCAGTTATATTCAATGGAAACAGGGCAACTGACTTAAAATACATTGGGAATCACTTGCCTAAAAATTTAGTATAAGGATGGAGTGGTATTATTTAGACTAAGGATGGAATGTCCCAGGCAGCATTAGGAACGTGCTCCAGGAGTAGTTCAAGGTGGGCACTGAGGAAGCAATCAAGTGCAGTGGTGTGCGTGACTCTCTTGGGCTGATGCTTTCAGATTGATGGTACCAATTATCTACATTTAAGAAGTAGCAGCCGCTGAGATAATCACACTTTCTCTTCCCTTCATCTGAGGGATTGAGAACTTCTGATGGGAGAAGTTTTGTGACTCCTTTTTAGCCTGTTGGTTTCACCTAGCATTTGGTCTCATCTTCTCTGTGAACTATTATCAATAGGGTGATAGTTCTTTCTCTCTTCCTCTTTTTAAACTTTTGTGATCAGTAGGAATACTTGAGGAAACCTGGCGCTGTCCAGTAGGAGGGGTCCATTTGTAAGCTTATCTTCAGAACCTTAGGGCACAGAGAATCACTGAGTGTAGGTAACAGTGACAAACAGGAGTGGGCCTGGCAGGTCAGAGCTATCAGTCAGGGGCCAACGTGCTTTCTGTGGTGCTGAAATTTACCAAGTGCAGAAAGGAGGAGGGGAATTTCCCCTTGTACATTAATGGATGAATTAACACCCATCAAATTCTTAAAAAAAAAAAAACAAAAGAAGCCTCTGTATTTTAGAGCATTACGTGTCCTCTCCATCAGATTGTAGCGCAACTCAACACCTTCCACATCCTCTTTAGAAAAAGGGAAAACTTTCTAGGGATGGACGCGCCCACCTGACTTTAATTTTTGGCAATCCTAGATCTCTCGACTTTATTCTTTCTGGTCTTTGCCCCTTCTCCTACGTTTGCAGCCTCCCCCACTTCTCATGCAGTTTGGGCTTTTTTTTTTTCTTTTCCTTTCTCTCACGTACAAAGTTAACTTCCTAGGAAAAAGCTGCCGGATATCTGAGCTCTAGAGATAACTCATAAACAACAACTCAGCTTCCCCAACCTAAACATCAAGATGTTTGGACAGATCAGAACAAGAAGTGTTTGAAAAAAAAATGACTGGAGGTGTTAACACAGAATGAATGTGATCACACCACGAAAGAATGTTCTGAATCACTCAAAACCTGGCCTTGGGAAGAGAGAGGGAGAGAGAGAGAGAGAGGGTTTCTTGTTAAAATAAGTCTTGGTACAATCATAGTGTTTTTTTAAGGTAAAGGTGAAGAAAAAAAAAGATGGATGGGTAGATATCATAGGGCAGGCTGGTGTGTGAGCAAGAGTTCATCTGACATTTTCTTCTGTCTTTGCAGAGTGCAGAGGACGGTTTACTTCCACTTTATATAATTTTGTCTTCACTCACCTTTCCTAGGAAATCTGTAGAACTCTGAGTAATAAGTTCCTTTAACTGTAGGGGTCATTGGCTGTCACATTTTAAACTCTTTTCTGTCTTAATCATCTGTCCTGAGTGGTTTGATATTTTTAGTTTCATAGAATTAATAAACTGTAGAGAGGCATTAGGTTTTTTTTAGCTCTCGGTGTATTTGACTTCTGAACCCGTAGGCTTTCATTTTCTGGTTTTTTCTTGGTGCTAGGATCAAACCTAGCCTTGTGCCTGCTGAGCACACGCTGTACCCCGGAGCTGCACCCTGAGACCCAGGACCTCTGACTTTCCTCTTCCCTATACTTCCTGTGTCTTCAGGTCCATTTTCCCACCTTGCTGTTTTTGTTTCACACCCAGCCCCTAGTGCAGCTGGGTCTTCTGTGAGATGCAAATCTCACCTAATATACTAATGCAGAGGGTAGAAGAGATGACTGAAGGGTGCATCCACAGGTTCCCACCACTCTGGGATTGCCAGGGTTTTCCTAAGTCTCGTATCTACCAAAAAGGCCGAGCAGTCTGCTTTATCAGAATTCTCTGCTTCTGCCTGGGAGCCAAGCAGTGTGGCCTTGAGAGGCCCTGTGTAGGTTTGCACAAAGTCTGTAGTGCTGAAAACATATTCTGAGCCTGTTTGTATTTATGTTACTTTCATTTTAAAAAGCATTTATGCTATTTTCAATATACTGCACAGGATTATATACTGCATGTCATTGTCTGGCACCCTGCCTCCATCAGTCGGTGCTGTGTGTTTGTGGTATATGTTCAGAATTGCCATGCTGGGAAATCTAGGGGCCTGAGTAGGTATAGGCTGCTATCTCCGAGTATTTCTCTTAAAGAAAAACAGAGCTGTAGGAAGATCATAATAATCACATGTAGCATCATTGTCAAAAATCACCAAGCATTAATTTATGTGGTACTTTCCTCCGAAGAGTACACAAGTGGAACAGTATTGTCACATTTCACAAAGGCAGGTGGCCACAGGTCTGTGAAATCAGGGTCCGCATTCTTGGACCTTCGTGAATTATGTCCAAAATAGACAGCAAAAGAGTAGCACCTTCTCCATTATGAAAAATGATGGCCGTTTTAAATTTCCATTTCCTTAGAATCCAGAAGAAAGAATTTCTTAAAAAAAAAAGAAGTCTGAGCTCTGCTACTAAAAGCACGTATCTGTGGGCTGTGGAATGGATGGCTGTGAAGTCTGGTTAATGCGAAATCGCCGCTGACTTTTCTATATCTGTCAGCTTCGTGTGCTTGGCCCAACTTTTTGTTTGATAAAATATCGGTAGGAAAGAGAACCAGGAGCCCTGCAGTTTTCGCTCCATATTCTCATGTCAAGGTTTCCTTCCCATTTGCCTCTCTTCCTCCTCCCTACCCTCCTTCCCTCAGACCTAACCCGCGTCTCGGGAGCGCTTAGCGCCAAGTTAACACTTAGCTGTGCCCAGCCCCGCACCAGCATTTCCTTGACCACAGATGGAGACTGGCCTGTTCTTGGGTAAGAATTTTGCGTCCAGGAGCAGAAGTAGTTCGGCAGTTGAAGGTTTCGTTTTATAATAGGGAGATGAGGAAGGGGGGGGGCGTGAGTTAGAAGCTCCACTCCGTTTTATTTTCAGTAGCACTGAATTTAATTTTTGTTTGGAGTATAGATATCAAATGTAGTCACCTGATAAACGCATCGAAAAGAGAAGGAAAAAGTTCTTCATTTTAAAGAAAATGAAGGCAGTGAGTAGGAATTAAATTGTAAGTCAAGGCTGGCTTTTTAATTTTAGGGATGTGTTGGAGATTGAACTCAGGGTCTTTGCCCTGAACTACATTCCCATCCTTTTAAAGAATTTTTATTTGAGATGAGATCTTACTAAATCGTTCAGGCCGAGCCTGACCTTGGGAATCTCCTGCCTCGGCCTCCTAGAGCGATGCGATTGTAGGCGGTCTCCATGACGCTGCGGCCCTTCTGCTGGGTGAGGAGCACATAGGAAATCCCTCATTCCGTGACGGTGACGGTGAGACCAGGGCAAGAGGGGCCTGAATTCTGGCTGAAGAACAAAACTGCTTGTTCTTTTCAGTTCATCTTATGAAACGACGGCCACTTGAGCGGGGAGGCTGCGGGGCTGCCCAGGAGGGGTAAAGCGCCCAAGTCCTGAGGCGTGGGCTGGTGCATTTAGGCCAGCTGCAAACTGCACGAGGCCTTGCGCACCTCCAGCGCCCCGCAGGTTGCTTCCTAAGTCGCGTCCGCGTCTCCAAAAATGACGGCGCTGTGCCGTCCGCGCTCTGTTGTCTCTGCGTACCCGAGCTTTTCTTCATTTGGGATCTAGCTAGTGTTTGCTTTCCCTGTTTGGATTTCCTCTCCCTTTGCTGTTCACGTATCCCAGGGGCCGGAACCCTGATTGAGGATTGACGTTCTCAGAAGTTATGCTTGAAAAAGACCTCTTGGAGGCTTCGGTTTGGATAATAAAATGACTAAAAGCCAGGTACCAGCGTTAGTCTGGCTAATTCAAAATTGCTCCCCATAGAAATGAATCTTCCAGTGTGCTTTGGGGGGTGGAGGGGAGGGGTGATGGAGGTGACAGCTTGAATTGCTGTAGCCTCATCTGCTCCTATCCAGTGGATCGACTGCGTTTCTCTTTTCGAGGCTGATTTGGGGCTCTTTATTACTTTCATGTGGGCCACTTGCTAGTTTTGATTTCAACGATAGTGTCTGTCTTTTTTTTTTTCTCGAGCTCCTCTGTTTGTGTAGTTCTGACAGCACCTTTAACGTTTGTTTTGGTGTTTTCCCCTCCCTCCTCCCCACCCCAGTCGGCAGCGAGGAGGGCTGGCACTTCCTGCGCGAACTGTCAGACCACCACTACCACGCTCTGGAGGAGGAACGCCAACGGAGACCCTGTGTGTAACGCCTGCGGGCTCTACTACAAGCTGCACAATGTAAGTGGCCCGAACCAGCAGCAGTGCCCGGTAAACCATGTCACAGGGCCCGTGCAGAGGCCCTGGTCTGTGAGAGTCACCCTCCTTTGGGCCGAGTCTTGGGCCCCTGGTAACTAATGCGGGAGGGATTAGTTCAGAAAGCTACTCTGTGTCAGCCTGGCCAAGGCCATCGGGGCTCCAAGGGGCAGCACGACCCACTTAGTGTGTGCCCTCGAAGCGGCGATCCGGTACACTCTGTGGACCTGCTGCTGTTTCAAGGGGAAAACACAGAAAGTCACCAGTTCTGTTTTGGTGTGTTACATTCTAAACTTTCTGCAAAGAGGAGAAAGAAAGAGCCAGAGGGAGAGAGTGAAGGAGAAAGGTAAATGGTTTTGCACCGCGTGGCCCGATGGGTGATTCCTGAGTGCAGACAACCTGTTGAGACACTGTGAAGTCCTGGGGGATTCTCTGGATGACAGATTTCATCTGCTGTCCGTCCTCACCAGCTCTCCCATGCCACCCACTTGAGGCTGGCACACGGCCCCGAGAAACTCCTGCTTTCTCCTTCCCTAGCACATTAGCAGAATGACCATCGCCATGCACCTGCGTGGAGTGGTGTCATTTGTAATCGTCTAATCTGGACTCTGCCAACTCTGTTGTATCTTTACTTCAAACATTTTTTTCAGACTTTTCTTTTGCTTGGAAAAATTCTGGCTTATAGGCCAGGACCGAATAAGGCCTCGTGTTTCCCTTGATCCCACAGAAGAAATTGTCCTCTTTCCTTTGCTCTCTCTTTCTCCTCCTCCTTTAGCCTTTGCTGATTCTCCTGAAATCTCCTTGCTAATCTGACTTTGGCAAAGTCTGGGACTGACAGGAAGAGGCAGAAATTTTGGCTTGGGGCCCTCCTGGCAGTACATTCATCTCTACCTAGGAACTGGAGCAGAAGGTTTTCTGTGTAGAGTTTCTGAGTCACAGAGAACTTCTCGGGGTAACCACCACGACCCCACACCCTTTTCACCTATGGGGGTCAAGTCGCTGAGATTCCCAGGGAACTCAGAGACTTCTCTGCCTGCCTCCAGTGTCACTGTCTCTTGACAGTGGCGATCCTGCTGTGGTCCCGCAGGTCCTGGGGCTGTGGTCTGTACTCGGCAATTAACTTCCCATCCTCATTTCACTCTGGGGATTCCTGACGAGCCATTCTGGCAGCCTTGGGGTAGGTCTGTCTGTGTTTATTACTGCTCCGGTCACTGGCACAGCCTCGGATATTAGTTTTTGAGTTTAATTTATGATTTTCTAAAAACTTTGATGTTACTTGGTCACATCTGAACCTCAAACTGTCCCATGATGTAGATAGAGCAGAAATTTTTTTTAACTTAAGTTTTACTTAAGAATTGATGACTCAGAAAAGCAAGCCACTTATGCAAGATAATGTGGGTGACAGAGGAGGAGAGTTAGGACAGCTTTCAGAGTGTCAGAGTCCTTCCTAGGGTCTCACTGGCATCAGGACAGAGGGATGAGTCTCGGAAGTACACTGTCTTATCTTAGAGTACAACAAAATCATAATGAATGTGTATATATATAATTTCTGTTTCCATGAAAGCATAGGAGTTATGGGAAATTAACTAGCTCTACAGTTTTTGAATAGTCAAGATATGATTTCACTTGTGTCCAATCCAGTATCTAGAAGTCTCTGAGGAATGCTCACGCCTGCCTCACTCTTCTTTAGCTCTGCCTTCAGGGCTGGGACCCAGGGACCGGGAGAATACCCTCCCGTATGTTTTTGCTGTCTGCTCTGGTACAGTAGTGATTCATCAAAGGAAGCGATTTGTGTGTATGTAACAATAAGAGATAATAATCTATTAACATTTTCAGGGCAGTGCATTCTGTTCTGCCCATGCAAATGTCTACACAGGCTCTCCATAAGCTGCTTTCTTATCTGAGCGTCCAGATAATTGCCTATCTCAGCATCAGTGTATCTAGGTGGTGTTGGGCCTAGTTATCTGGAGCTGTGCGCCTATCTGTGTAACTAGATATTATATTTAGATATCTGGCAGCGTATGTCTCGCTATCAGCGTACAGACCAGTGTATCTAGACATTATCTTGGTGAAGATTCGATGTGGGAGTAGATTCCTGTCATCTCTGTCGTCTGCGTCTTTATCTTGATGACGACTTGAAGAAGGAACCCTGAGTCCTTCTCCTGGAGGTGACCTTCGCCGGCTCTTTGCTGCCCCTCGTGTCACCTTGCAGGCACAAGGAAGGGGTGGTAAGGACTCTGCTCTGGTGCAGGGCTCTGCCCTCTCTCAGGTAATTCCTCTCCCAGCTGCTGCTACTTGCTGTGTCTGGGAATTTGGTCCTTCGTGGCATTTGGATTCTGTTTTCCTTCACCGTTTCCCCCTGGGAAATGTGGAATGACCGGAGCTGTGACTGTCGCTTTTTGAGTCTCTGCTGCACTCCCTTGGGGACGTGGCTGGGTGAGCAGTTGGCTCTCGGTGGCAGATGTGTGCTCTTGAGACTGACTTGGGCCCGGCTCTGGTATGTGTGGGGAGAAGCCTGTGCTTGCTTTATAAAGTCCGGGATCTTGCTTGTTAGCCCGTGAAGCAGATGTATTTACAGAGGACAAATCAGGTTTATCAGAAAGCCGGAGACCGCAAGCTGTCACAGAATGAAGCCTGTCGTCCTGAGTGTGGGCTCTTGCCACTGTTTCCTCACTTGGGCTCATCCTTGGCCTATAACCTTTAGGACGGATGCACTTTTATGCTAACAAAGTACCCCAGACTCCGTGGGTATTAATTACTTGATGGGTTGTTCAACTCTTGGTTTAGTTAGAACTAGGGAGAAGTTTCTGTCTGGTGATACAAAAAAGGGTTATCTTTTAGGAAAGCAATGCTGTATTAAAACAGGTCCCAGCACAACGTACACATTCCGGGGAAATTTTTAGGGTGCTTGTCACTGCAAAAAGGTGAGGTGAAAGACAAACAACCAAAAACTTCATGGCAGAGAGGTTCACCCCAGTTTCTCCAAGGCAGCTAGACTTCATTAGCCACAGATTGATGACCTGGGCATCAACTCTTAGAATTTTCAGACTGGTAGACAAGAGGTTTTTCCCTGTGGAAGTTTCCACAACAGGCTACGTTGTCATGAAATATTCTAGGGAAATGGTAGCGAAATAAGGCAAGTTATTCTATTTTAGTTCCTTGAGAAATGCAGTCATGCTAAGTGGGTGCCTGGAGATGCAGATTTCCTGGAGGAAAACGGTCCCCCAAATTATTGATGCTGACGAACGTGGTTGGCAGGCTGTCCTTGGCCCTTAGGGTCTTTGGTCTCTGCAGGTGACAGAAGCTGACAGTCAGAACCCCCTCCCCTAGAGACCTGGCACAGCTACTCCAGGTCCTGGAGAGGAGAAAGGAGCGGGTTGGGGAGGGCGGGGAGGGATGTGGCCCTGAAACCGAGACAGATCCCTGGCCTGAGTCGCTGTGTACGTAAAAATCTGGGCCGTTTCAAAGCAGCAGAAAAGTAAAAAAAAAAAAAAAAAAAAAAAAAAAAAAA